AAGGAGAAGGAGAAGGAGAAGGAGAAGGAGAAGGAGAAGGAGAAGGAGAAGGAGAAGAGTTGCCTGCAATGCCAACACCTAGGTAAAGAAGGCATGTTGTACTACATTGATGGTGACCTAGTGTTTTTCTTCAGATGCAATTTCACAACTTGAAGGGGAATCTGGCTGTCCAGCACACTCTGATAGGAAGGATTCACTCTGGTTTCCTTCCCTGAAACAATGCCATCTTGTGAGCTTTCTCATTGGCAGCAACTGCCCTTTGGAATAATCTCCAAGATATGGTTGGTCCTGATGTTGCAGGCCTTTAGAAAGGCAGTAAAGACCTATCCTTTTCCTCAGAAGCTTGGGTCAGGATGAGCCATTTCATTGATTTGATTTGTTTTACTTGCAAGTGCAGATTTCTTTGGTACATTTTTTTATTAATGTCTGTACACTTTCCCGAGTCATACTGTTGACTTGGATGGCCTCAATAAATGTAATAAATAAGTTATTAATATTAAATAAAGTATCCCCAACCCTTTTTTTTTCAGTGGACTCCAAAGTGGCCACTTCATCTGACTTCAGTATTTCTATGCTCCTTCAATAGGTAGCATTTCACCTAGAAGAGCTAATAAGATGAGATTAGTATTTATATAATAGGCAGGTAGTTTAATGAGTTTGTAGACTCATTAAATGTACTTTACTGGCTTCAGTTCTTGCTTCATAAAATCAAAGAATCAGAGCTTCAGACAGGAATCATTTTTTGAACAGAAGCATCCTTCAAAGGTACCCAAAGGCCAACTTTACACAAAAGATATAACTTTGGGCAGCCAAAAGGAGCTTTGAAAGATATCACATATAAACTCTGCTAAATTAGCAAAACCTGATCTGGTCAATTCAAAGTGTGTGGGGAAAGGAATGAGAAATACTGCTGAACCATCTTAATCCATTTTCCAATCCAGTCCATTTCTTTGACTTATTTCCTCTTTTTTTGGCATGATTAGAAAGGGAAGAGATCTTACAGTATCACTTTAAGACATAGATTTACTACATGTTACCCTCTAAGTCAAAATTTCATCAGCCCATCAGGGACAGATGCTGGGAGATGCAGTTAAGCAATATCATAAATTATTCTGCTGCTTACAGGACATAGGAGAATTGAAGCAAGTAGAAAGATACCTAGTTCAGTTCTGACAGAAGATGCACAGTGAATTTAAGAACTGGTACAAACACAGATTTGGGACGTATCTCTCCATTTTCTATCTAGCAGCTTTGTTCAGTGTGACCAAGACCTTTAGGGGAAGGAGGAGAGCAATAAAGCAAGTTTTTGGTGGGTTCCTTCACATATAAAATCAGGCCTCTTTACTCTATTACAGATACCAATAGGGCGAAGAGGCACAGAAGGTGAGTAGGGTGATGTCTTGTAATATGAGCTGGAATTCTTTAGAGCAATGAGATCTGCCACCTCAAGGATGGATTCCTGCCCAACGTGGTGCTTATAAGCAATCAGGTGTGTCACTACATAGCTGGATCTGGAGATGGATAATATCTCTTGAGGAAAAATGAGATCCTATCTGCTTTGAAAGAGGCAAAGGTACACTTTCTTCTGAAGAAGCTCTCTCTTAGCCTGAACATCTTGAACAATTTTGCCAAGTCTTGGACCTGCACTTCTGGGGGAAGATTTTGAGAACGTAATGGGGTATAATTACAGAGCTTCCTGGGGGAGAAGCCAACATGGCAACAACACTGGCCATATCCCAACAGGATGGGAACTCTCCATCATTTTTCTCATACACAATAAAGGAGACAAGGAAGACCCTAAAAATTACAGAGCCATAAGCTTTATTGATATAACAGGTAAGACGTATGCAAAACATCTCTTGAGCAAAATAGAGGACTGGATAATTGAGAAGAACATATTAGTGGAAGAAGAGGCCAGGATCAGACCTGGGCATTCCACAAGAACATTCCTGCTTCATTCTACACCATCTTATTACTAAATATGTAACAGATGGTAAAAAAAGATCTATATTTTATAGAATTTAGTGTGGCATTCGATTCTTTGAACAGAGAAACCATTTTTGGAAGAAACTGGCCAACCTAAAGATGGAACCATTGACTACATGTAAAAGTGATGAATTTACTTAAATACATATTGTTTTGTATTTTAATATTTATTTTAGTTCTCTGCATTCCATTTCATCTAATGCTATTTTTTCTCACTCTTTTATCCTTACTTTATCTTACCTTACAATATTTTATTTTATTCATCTTGCCTTACTTATATGTTACCTAATTTTACTGTATCTTACCTTATTTCATTTTCTATTGAACAATAGCTCATGCCCATTGTTTTGATATGGTAAACTGATTAATCAATGAAGTTATACTACAACTATACTACAGAGCATCTAGACAATATAGTTCATCTAGATAGCTTTCTGTCTGGATTCAGGCCTTGATATAGGATGAAAACAACTAGGTGTTCTCTTATGATTGGGCAATGTTGGGACCTGGATGGGGGAATACATCCCTCCTGATCCTTTCAGACCATGTTTTTTTGATCAAATGCCTAAAAGTGTTTGTGGTTTGAGTTCCTCTTTTACAGTAATTCAACTCCAAACTGAGTTGACAGTTTCATTCTGTAGTCACGAAGCAGGAAGAAATGACTCTCTGTCTCTCCAATGTAATAACCATGAGTAGACAGATATTACCAATATGATGGTTAGTATGCATAACTTTTCCATTAAATTTTTAGCATATTTGCATGAAATAAATAATGGGGCAGCAACAGACCTAGTTTTCAGCCCCAGTTTTAAAAGAAAGTTAAACTAAACTAAAAAATGAAGCACTGTGAAAAAAATGTAATAGATTGTTTTGCATACAAACTAGGAAGTAACCTTGAAAAATTCAGGATAGTTTACTTCTCAGTAAGCAGCATGTGACTATAGATTTGAATACTAATGCTTTCTCATACTCAATGCAAAATAATATCAAAGAATAGGATTCATATTTTTCTGTTGTTTGGTCTTCTTAGCTGCTCTTTTTTGTTCAGATCAGGCCTCCACACAATGATGTAGCATTTGGGAGAAAAGATACAAATCAGTAATCCAGCACTGGAGGCTATAATGGAGAAGATCTCCACAGCAACTGTATATTTTCCCCTTGTGCTCAGGTATGTTGGGACAAAGGACAACCAAACACTACAGAAGACCAACATGCTGAATGTGATAAACTTGGCTTCGTTGAAAGCATCAGGCAATTTCCTTGCTAGGAAAGCCACTGTAAAGTTGACAGAGGCAATAAAGCCCATAAAGCTCAAGACAGAATAGAAGAGGAAGGCAGATCCTTCATTACACACCAGAACTATTTCTTCTGCCAATGAATTCATGTCAGCATCTGGGAATGGGGGAGAGGTTGTCAGCCATATAGTGCAAATAATGCCTTGAATTAAGGTGCAGCCCAACACAATGGACATGGCTAATCTTTTCCCCACCCATTTGGTCATTCTGAACCACGGCTTGGTGGCCATGAAAGCCAGAACCACAATGATGGTTTTAGCCAACACACAAGAAATAGCCACCACAAAAATGAGACCAAATGCAGTCTGACGAAGGATACACATCACCTTCTCAGGTTGCCCAAGGAATAGCAAAGCACAAAGAAAAGATAATAGGAGGGCAACCAGGAGAACATATGTGAGGCTCTGGTTGTTGGCTTTGACTATGGGAGTATCCTGATGCTTAATAAAGATCCAAAGGACTCCAATTGTGACCCAAGAAAAGAAAAGGGCTGAACTGGTTAAAATAGCCCCCAAGGTTTCTTCATACATTAAGAATGTTATAACTTTGGAGAGACAGGAATCCTTATTCTCATTTGGATATTGATCTTCTGGACACTGAAAACAGTCATCCATGTCTAGAAAATAAAATCACATTTTAGAAATTGCAATGAAAAAGATCAAAATACGATGTTTCAATATTCATGAACAGGATTACTATTTAACATCTGAAAATCAAACACAATTGGAGAGTTGTGATAAACTTGGATGTTCCAAAGGATGCTTGAAATATTTGCAATCAATACAATTAGTCCATGTTTCATTACAGCTGTTTGCCAAGTGAAACTGTCAAACTTGCACGCTCTTCAAAATGTTTCAGTGATATTGTTAACTTTTAAGTCTGTTTTAAGAGAAATGGTGGAAAACATCTTACCCTCCTGTGGAAGGACAGACTGTCTGAGCAGATCAAAGCCCCTCTGCTCCTTCCTCCCCCTCCCTTCTCGGCCCTCCCCCATTGTCTGGACAACCCAGCTGCCAATCAACAGAAGCTGCCAAACAAACGGCAGCATCAGGCAGGAGGCAGGGAGGAGGACGAAAGACAAGATGGTGGCTAGGGAGCTTTGCAGCCACAGCCCTCAGGTAGAAGAAGCTGAATAAACAGAGCCAAAGCCCAGGACTCAAAGCAAAGAGGCAAACTGAAAGACAGATGGCCCTGTTGAGGAGGGGCAACTGGAAAGTAGGCAGGAGATGAGAAAACGGGGGAGAGAGAGGCATTTATTTCCTCTCCTCAGACTGTTGTGAGGGAAAAGTTCTTGGAGCCATTTCCCTGAGATGGAGCCAAGATTTGGAAGAGGAGAAGAGTCAAGCCCAGCCAGGAACACACAAACAGAAAAGATGAAGAAAAAGAAAAAACTTTGATAGGACAGAAATAGAAAACAGAAACTAAGATATGAGAATAGAGTGAAAATTGACTTTAAAGAATATGGTATACATGGAGAGCTTATAGAAAATATTAAAATAAACAATAGTGTTATTATTAAAGTTATTTTTCAGAATTAGTTGAAGGCAATTACAATTTACAATTCCTTTTTATTTGTAAACTTCCCTTTAGTAAAATAAAAGTCTCTCCCCACCCCAGACCCCTAGCCACTGAAGGGAGATATAAAACACCCAACTGTCCATTTGTGTCTATGGAGTCTGGGTCAATCTGCTTATGGGAGGTAGAAAGAAAGAAAGAAAGAAAGAAAAAAGAAAGAAAGAAAGAAAGAAAGAAAGAAAGAAAGAAAGAAAGAAAGAAAGAAAGAAGGAAGGAAGGAAGGAAGGAAGGAAGGAAGGAA